TCTCTGAGCCCATCCCTTGTCGGTCCCGGGGCGTCTCGCGCAGGATCGGCCGTTTGGAGGGCCGAGACCGCGAAGATGAGGAAATACGCAGCGCTATCTTCGGGCTATGACTTCTGCCCATTGGCCTTCGAGACGCTAGGGGGTCCCGGTCCCCTCACGGCTGCTCTGATTTCTCGGGTCGGAGACGCTCTGGAGCGGGTTTCGGGCGACAGGCGGCTGGGTCGGTTCATGGCGCAGCGGCTGTCTCTGGACGTCCAGCGAGGAAACGCGATGTCGGTGCTTGGCACCATGGCGAGCTGGCTCGAGCCGAGGTGGCACGTTGGCTGATTCTATGTAAATTTGATCAAAGTATATTTTTGATGTAATAAAATCTATGCGCTTCTGAGATCTCGCCGTAGACGGTTTCACGACGCGGTCTTTGTCTCGGCAGGGTTCTTGCCATGTTAAAATGGTCCGTACATCCCAGACCAAAGGTCTCAGCGATCGAGCCGCGGCTAGGCTGCGCCGTTGGGCTCTACGCCTTGTCGGGTACGACTTCGATATAGAGTACGTACGTACTTCAGAGTTTGGTCAAGCGGACGCGTTGTCAAGGCTAATTCAGGAGACAAGAAAAGATGCCGCAAATTCGGGCATGGAGGAAGTCATCGCCGCGCTGGAACTCCAGGAAACGGAGGTTAACGGTTTAATCGCTGCAAGGAGGGAATTCACCCCAACAGGAGCAGCTATCAAGGACGCGACCGCGCGTGATCCGGTTCTGAAGGAGATACTGCAGCGTCTGCTCCGTGGTTGGAAGAAAACTGATTTTCGAGAGAGTTTCCTTCGCGTTTTCGCTCAGAAAGCAGATTCTTTGTGCGATGTTCAAGGTATCCTGCTTTACGACGATCGTGTGATCATGGTTCATGGTTCATGGTTTTATTGATCCATATGTTCCCATGGTACTATATCACAGGTTTCATATCCCTTTTATCTCAGGGGCGATTTCTCAGCAGATCGGTCGGGTCTCCTTTTCCCATCGCTCTAGTAGTTCCTTGGTCTTTCGCAGCACTCCACGGTCCAGGAGCTCCTGGAGTCCCAATTTCTTACGGAGTTCCTCTTCATTGAAGTGATGTGGGTGCATTCTAATAGCACGTGCTGGATAGTTTCCTCCTCCATCCCACACCAACAGCAGTACGGGTGGATGTTTTGGAACTTACTGCGGTATTTTCGAGTCGGCAGCATCCCTGCTCTCGCTAGTGCGAGTAGGGTACTGCCTCTTCTATTGTTATACGTGCCGACTGCGGTCAGTCCTCGTCTCTCTTTATACATATTGTATATCTGTAGGCTTGGTTTCCGGGACATCCCTTCTCTCCATGCCTTGTCCTGCGTTTCCCGGACTTTCAGTTTCACTTCCTTGTAAAATTTACTTAGAAGTGGACGTCCTTCGTTAGTGTATACCACGGGTATTTCCCCATCAAGGTATTTTTTACGTAGGATCTTCAAGCGTTTGACTGCCTCGGTGTATGTGTCGGTCAGTGCCATCATTGACAGGATCGCTCTTGGCCATCTATGTGCCTCCATTGAACTTATCCTAGTGAAATATCGGATCCTGCTCTGAGCTTCTCTTGCCTCGAATGATGACCAGCCTATTTCTCCTTGGATGAACTCGTTGGCTACCTTGTATCCCGTAATACCCAGAGCCCATCGACCCGCAGACATCTGCGTCTTTTCGAAGTGAGCATTCAGCGCTCTTTGGTTCCTCGAGGCTAGTACCGCATTGGCGTATGTCAGCGTCGGGACCGCTGTGGCTTTCCATTGGATCTTGGAAACTTCGAATTTATCGAACGTCCATAGGCATTGTGCGTGCATTCTTTGCAACGCCACTTCCGCCTTTTTTTCTCAGAAATAGCTCATGTTCATGGAGATAGTTAGGCTTGCGGACAGAGTTATTCCGAGGTACTTATATTGATCTTGCCTCTCGATCTCTTTCTGTTGTATAAACATAGGAGTCGGTTGTCCCAACTTCTCATCATTGAACACCACAATGGCGCTCTTCGTGGGGTTGAAATTGAGTTGTACTTCTGTACCAAACTCGGATACCACATTTAGGAGAATTTCCATTTCCTCATAGCTTTCGGCCATTAGGAGTAAGTCATCGGCGTATAGTAGCCCAGGGATCTTTATCGACTGTACCGGATTGGTATTCGTTATCACCTCGAAACCACATCTCGTCCATAGGATTCTTGATTCTAGTTCGGCAATATATAGGGAGAATAGGACGGGGGAGAGGGGACACCCCTGTCTCAGACCTATATTAGTTGACATCCTTTCGGACTCGACGGTGCCAACTTTTATAACGATCTGATTATCCGTGTATATTTTCTTGAGTAGTTCTACCCAATTCGAATCCATGCCAAGGTCTGATAGTCTTTCCCACAGAAGTTCTCTCCTAATTTTATCATAGGCTTTCGTACAGTCAAGGAAGCAGCAAATTAGTCCCTTCGACTGTCGCCTTGCGAGTTCGATTGCTGAGGTTATAATGAACAGATTGTCCTCTCCCCTCCTGCCTGGTCTGAAACCATTTTGCACCGCCCAGCACTTCTTCGTCTTCAATCCAGTCATTCATACGTTTGACAATGATTTTCATGAAGATTCGGTACATAACTGATGAGACCGTTATCGGCCTGTATGTAGTGAGCTCTCCCTTGGTTGAGTTCGGTTTCTCTATCATCGAGACTCTCCCGATTCTCCAGTCTGACGGAATCTGCTCGGCCCCTCTGAATAGGTCGTTGAACATCCGACACATCTGGTTTATTCCAAGTTCTGAGAGCTCTTTCAATACCGAAGCCGGTATATTATCCTCTCCGGTAGCGGTTTTGACAGAGATCTGCCCGAGGATTCTCATAACTTCGGTTTCGTCTGTTGCGATATTTGTCGGGGTGGCCCTCTCTACGGGTGGCAACGTACCCGTTCGCGGTCGTGGTTCTGCATCCAGAGTCAGTCATACCAACGGCGCTGCGAGCTTCCGTCCTACGGAAACTGCACCAAGCCCATCGTCCGAATGAAAGCGCTGGCTCGCGCTCATTTCTACTGGCCGGGTATCACTTCCGACGTAGAGAAGGTTGTCAAATCGTGTGCGTATTGCGCCAAGCAGGCCGCAAAGCCGGTCAAAGTACCTCTCGCACCGTGGCCGGATCCTGAGAAACCTGGACTTCGCTGAGCCTCAAAAAGGTAATGCGTTCCTCGTGATTGTTGACGCTTTCTCAAGGTACGTCGACGCGACCTTCATAAGCCCAGCCACGAGTTCCGAGCTTGTGAAATACTTGCGGGTCGTTTTTGTCATTTCGGTCGTCCAGAAACGATCGTTTCTGATAATGGCGCTCAGTTCACCAGTTCTGATTTCGCACAACTTTGTCAAGATTTCGATGTCGTTCACCTCCGGAGTCCTGTGTACTCGCCGCAGAGTAACGGTTGTGCGGAAAAAAATGGTTTCTACGTTTAAGTCTTCCCTGGAACAAGCTAACTCAAGAGCACTCGACGAAGCGGTGCTTGCTTACAACTATACACCGAACGCCGCTCTGGATGGAAAGACTCCAGCTGAAGTTTTCTTTGGGCGTATTCTTCGGTCGCCTTTCTCCGTCTTCAGGTCGCAGCAGTCGAGGCTGTCAGAAAACAGTGAGAGATTAAAAAATCAATCCGATCATCATCATGGTACGCGTCCCCGCGCTTTTGCACGGGGGAGGCAAAGGTGGTTGAACTCGACAAGCGTCGTCGAGTGCCGGCGACATTCGTGACCTCCGTCGGTAAAGCTCGAGCTCGTCTCGAATTCGAAGGCCGAGTGATTACTCGGCATCTCAACCAGATCTGGTTGCGGAGGAAGAAGCCGACTTCGAAGATTTCATCTCGGCTCCGCCTGGTTCTCCCTCAAACGTTATGTCGCGAGTTCCTGCGTCCGATTCCGCGTCTTCTCCGTCGTCCTCTCTGCCAGAACCGTCGTCCAGTGTGTCGGCCTCCGACGGCGGCATCACCACGGGTCTGGAGCAACGGTCACACGCACCAGTGTGCGCCCAGGGTCCAAGCAAGCAAGGAGAACCTGTCACTAGGCGTGAGCAGCCTCCGCGCAACGTCAAGAAACCGACCGGTTACGCAGCATTGGGAAGAGGCTTGAGCCGTCTCTTCGGACGAGCCGACTAGGTCGGGAGGTGTTGTGTAATCGCTCAATGATTACAACGAAGTGGAATCACTAGTATATAAGCCGCTTCCAATAAACGGTCATTCATTAGCCACTCGGTAACGTGAACGCCTCGTAGTCTCCTTAATGTCATACACAACAAAAATCTCGACCTCGTTTTATGTGTCGACCGAATCCCTTCCAAAAGGCAGCGCGATTCATGTCCCCATTCGAGTGTCTGCCGTTCCAACACTTCGATTAAAGAAATGATAATGGACTCGTTGAACTCCTTCGACTTCCGCTCCGCCGCTTCTCGCGCTCTGATGGCTGAAACTCACGCCTACTATCACGAAGTCATCTTCTTGATTCTGCGCTCCATAAACTCCATGTCGGGACTTTCTCCGCATTTGCAGTGGACCCAGATCACGGCTCCGATATTGAGACTGATTCAAATGCCGATCACCGACCGACAAGACTTGACGGCATTTTCCCCGAGGGAACGGCCGAGAAAGTCAGAAGCCTCAGAGATCTCGATTACCGTACGCCTCCAAGTATTCCATAAGTGACGAGCTCATTCGATACCGGACGTGAATTCGATGCAGGAAACTTAGTACGTCCGAGATATCCTTGAGAATACTGAAGCCGCCATTACGAATCACAACCGCATCGCATTTCCTACGGACCGAATCCCCGACATCACCGGGTGTATTCTTGAGACCTCTAACAAGTGCCTCGAAGATACCAACGCTTTCTACCAAAGACAGTCCCTTCGTTCCAAGTTTCTCGATGGCATGCGGGAGCTCTCCGGAGTTTGCTTTTATAAAAGCGAGATTGTCCCTTACAGAGGGCTTCCTCACCAATTGAGCAGCCGCTCCGATGCTCGCAGCGTCACTGACGTCCAGAGCGTACAAAACCTTCGAAAATCGAAGTGGTCGGCGTAATAAACCGCTGCGTTCAACCAGGTACCCCATCTTGTCAGAACTGGCTGGGGTGGCAGCGGCACTCCGGGAGCGATCTCGCGGAATATGCTCACTCGAGCGGCAGACCTCAGGAAAATTTTCTTCCCGTTGGAGACCAACTTGTCTACATCCGGGAAGATGGTCCTGATTTCCTCAGCCAACTGATGAACAGCGTGTGCTGCGCAGGTAGCGTGCACCATTTTCGGAAATATCACCTGCAGAGCTGAGCCGGCTTTTTTCATATAGGCAGCTCCGTCACTCAGGAAGAGGAGTACCCTCTCGTGCTTTATGCCGTCTGGCCACAGAAGGGTCCATGAGTTCAGAAAAGCCTGGACTATGGTCGAACTGTTCGTTTTCTCCAAATTTTTGGCATTAGGAGGGAAGCTTTTACTCTCTGATGCTTCCAGTGTTCCAACGATCGTATGAGCAACGAACCTTCCCACAGCGTCCGTGCTTTCATCAATGGATATCCATACTCGTTTCTCCCCGACATATTCTTTGATGTGTGCCAATTTTCCCTCATAGAGGCTCTTGAGATATCCCGTTCGCCAGGTTACAGACGATGTAATTTGTTGCTTCGTGTAAGTCCGCAGGAAGCTCTTAAATTTCTCATTCTCCAATTTCCATAGCGGTATGCCAGAGGACACGAGGGCCTCAAACAGGTCCGTGCTGAACTGAGAATTCTTCCCTGTAGCCGCAACTAGCGTTGTCAGCTGCTGTAAGGTTGTAGAACCTGATTGTTTCCTATTCTCCATCAGAGACTCGTTATTGATACCATTAAGATGCTGCGTCACGAGCAACTTGTTCTCCGCGTTCATTTCCTTCTCACAGACTTTGCATAGGAGTACCGATCCGTCCGTTGAAAGCACTTCCGCTCCAAACTGCTCCTCATAAGATCCTAGTTTCGATCTTTTGGAGGCTGAGACTTTCGGCATTCTGTATTCGGGATATGGTTGCGGATTGTCGAAGAATCGAAGAATATAATATTATAGAAAGTGAGCACGAATCGAGTATCGTCGATGAGCGGGATCGAATTTTTCGGGTAGGGAAATCTATTGGATTGGCCGGTCCGCGAATGTTTTCGAAGCTTTCGAACACCCGAGGATCCCGTCAGCTGTTCATCAACTCGAGCATATGATCCTGTCAGCTGCTTGTCGATTCGAACGGCTGACTCGGCGCCGCTGAGAACCCGTCGCCTCTGAAAGGCCCTCGCACATACGGGTTCGCGGACAAGAGGAATCGAGAATTTATCCGATTCATCACCGTTCCCATCTATTCTCGGTTGACCATAGCTGTACGTCGCTCCCAGCGTCGAGACCCGCGAGAATCGATGGGGAAAATATGGGATATGCAGAATTATGCTCCAAAGCCCAGAATATGCATTTTCGGGAGAAAGAGCCCAGAATATGCATTTTTATGCTATATATGCAAAATGCTTGAAGTCACGGGCTTTAATGATTACTGACACGGGAGCACCGGAAATCTTGTGATCATGGGGAGCCCAATGAAAATGATACAATCGAGAGGGTGACGGAACCTTCATATGATAGAGTTTCGCTGACTTCCAACTGGACGAAAGTCCGGTTGGTGGTATCATCGAGTCAGAAATGGAGAAAAATCGATTACCCATGAAAGTCTGAGGATCCTCAATTGTATCATAGTCTTGATTATATTCCATCGTCGAACACGAATGAGGTGATGAAATCGAGCTCAAACTTCATACTCCCCGGAGCGCTCGATGAGCACGAACATGGTCTCCCACCATGTATCCATGTCCGGGGCCCACGACGCGACGCCATCTTCGAACTATCTGGCTGACTGAGACAGCCGCCTCAATCCGACCTACCTAAAATCCCGGAGATGAGGAACCCACTCTATCTTTACCTAAAAATTTTTGAAGATGTTTCTGCTGGTCATTAGCTACTGAAAATTTGTTGGGCCGGATTTCCGGCCCGAAAAAGCATGGAGCCAAATTTATATGAACTTATGACCAGCAGAAATATCTTCAGAAATAATTTTTAGAAAAATTGGGTTTCTTATCCCCGGGATTTCAGCCCTAAAGTTCCGCGTATAACGAACCCTTCATTGCGGAGAAAAGTTCCGCGTATAACGAACCCTTGATTGCGGAGAAAAGTTCCGCGTATAACGAACCTCCCGTATAGCGGACCCCGCGTATAACGATCCTTCCGTATAACGAACCTTCCGTATAACGAACCTCCCGTGTGAGGAACCTCGCCCATAACGAATCTCGCGGATGAGAAACCTTCTGTATGATGAGCCTCGCGTACAGCTTGCTATTTTATTCGGAGTGCGACCTTCTCTGGTACCCGTTGACTCAGACGATTCCGACAGTATCAATCAATGTTTTCATTCACCCTGAGAGGGGTAGAGCAGTATACCTAGGTGGAATATGTAACAGTACGTATATGTATATGTATTGCGGTTCTGCGACGGTTGTGCAGAGTGGGAGAGTGTACATTTCACAAGTCACAATTTTCTGAGGTCATTGAGGGATCGTAACCTAGGACAGACACTCCCGTGGTACTTGTTGCAGACTCCAGCACATCTCCTACACCGGCAGCTGCTGCAGGAATCGTGGTCGCCCTCGGTTTTACACAACCTGTGGTGGAATCCATGTATCGCAAATCTCGTTACTGCGTGTCGATTCGTTCTGCCTGGTCCTTTGCAGGCATCTTGGGACATGGCAGCGGTATGGAAAAAGTCTTTATCCACTTCGTCGAGTTTTCGTTTCCAATTCTGTTGACATTTCCGATAGGCGTCCGTCTCCGGCAGCCCAAGCTGGTCCGCGATATCCTCGACGAACGTTGGCGTTCCCGCTAGCAGGTACCCATACCGAGGTATGCTGGTATGCTATCCCATACCGAGGTATGCTGGTCTCCGGTAGGCGTAGAGTAATTGGACGCTTGAATTCGTTGGGAGTGATCTATGAGGGCTTCTTTCTCCACTGGGCAGGCGGCCAGCTTCGTTTTTCTGAGCCACCTGTACGGGGTTCTTTCAGCCTCCTCCAGCAGTAATCTTTCTCTCTTTTCCATAAACAGTTTTTTCTGTGATTTGTATGTCTTTCTAAAGAGGAGCTTGAGGTATGCAGCGAGTGGCTTCAGTGCTGGGTATCGCGAGGATAATTTTGATGCAGCTAGTTGACCCTTCCGCGCCGTTTGACAGAGTTAGTTGAACCATGGCCGTCCTTTAGCTGAGTTTGTGGGTATCGTACATGATTTGAGGATTTCCGTGAGGTGTTCGAAATACTCGTCTATGTTGATGTCCGGTGGGATGGGCAGGATTTCGTGCGACCTCATCAGGAGCTTGTCGGTGTCGACTCTCCGCGAAAGGGGTCTGCGCCGTAAGATCAGCTCGTCCTTGTTGGGCAGGTCCACTTCGATGCCGATGGGTAGGAGTGGCCTGAGACTGGTTCCTTCCCGAAGAGGGTGATCAGTTCCCAAGAAGCGAACAGATCTCTCTGGGAGATTCGTCGCGAATACGTCGATTACCGATTGTCCTCTGCCGCATGTGAAGGTAGGCTGTCGGATATCGTTAACGGCCCTACAGCCAGAACTCGCCAGTGTGTCAAGGAAGGCCGTTGCGCGCGGGACGTCGGGGTGGTCGAGACGCGTGTGAAATCACCTCTGATTATTAGGGGTCCTCCTCTCCCGAGAGACTGTATAGCCCTGGACAGTTTGTCAATTAGAACAAGTGTAGATTCTACATCGGCGGGTCTTATACATATAGGCCGCGATGATATTAAGTTTCTCATTATTTGCCACTATAAGATTTTCTTCGAGTAACTGGAGAGAGAGGCTTCCTACCCTATGGTTGTAGAGCAGGAATACCCCTCCACTCGGACGGCCGACTCCGCTTTGTTTCGTTGCCAGAGAGTGATGTGCGTAGAAACCTTCTGTGTTGAAGGGTTGTAGGGACCATGTTTCGGTGAGGATGATTATGTCAATTATCTTGAGATCTCGATATTGGAGCTGGCTTCGGCGTAGAACTTCCTGAAGGATGCGATCTTCTCAAGATGATCGGGTGGTAGTGGTTGACCGACACTAGTGGTCCTCCGTAGGCTGAAATTTTTCCGTTTCAGAAGTTTCTGCGCCCAATGATTGTAAGCCTTGAAGTTCTCATCGCCATGACCTCTCATAACCGCGAGCGCCTTCTGCTGAACATCCCGAACTTGTATCGCTCGACTTTTCGATCTCAATCCGAGAATCCAATCGCTGACTTCATCTTCCATCTCTGAGCTGTACACTTGGCCGTGACGAAACGCCCGTCGATTCCTGTCACCAGCTCTGAACTGGTCCTCTTTGTTCCTCCAGTCGTGTAGCATGCTCTTTGAAATGTTGAACTTCAACAGAGTAGCTGACTGACCATGGAGTTTGTCGAAGTCTATCGCTTCTAACTTGCGCTGAAGGGTGTAGGAAACTCTCGTTCTTCGCATTTTCGAGTCAGGACAGGCACACGAGTCGAACAACCGGAGGGAACTCACGACAATCGATATCAGGATGGAAAACAAGACTGGTGGACGATTGCACGGAGCCTCGCTGGCAGTCTGATCTCAATAGTCCCTAGCCTCCAGCACGTCCAGCGAAGGCGACTTGATGTTGAAAGCCCAAACACATGATGTTCGAAACACATCGCTAGCTTCTGGATTCTATAGTGTATGAGAGCGGTGAAGCTCAGCCGACGAAGCCGATTGCTTGAATTACTGACGATAGCCGCGCTCACTACCTCCCATTAATCGTCTCATAAGTTACCGTTACCTTTAACGGCCAGCACTTCGTCGTCTTCTCCAGACAAAACAATTTTTGAATCCCTGACTCGTACTTATTTACGAGTTATTTACCGCTCAGACGATTCCCATGGGTATAGACCCAGTAAGCCGAAACTTTCACGCCGAAACCCAGAAAGCCGAAACCTGGAACGCCGAAGCCCAGAGCGCCGAAATTCGTCTACCCGAAACCCAGTACGCCGAAAGTTGAGGTAGCCGAAACCCAGTACGCCGGAAATTCCTTCTGGCGGAAATACCGATCACACGTTCCGAAGGAATACAAAAAGCTTTTTCTTCGAGATTCAGTTCTCTTTCCAAACTCATCTCCGTGATCGCTAGAGGTTCCGAAGGATACGAGTACCTTCTCTTCACAATGTCCTCTTCGACTAGGCATTCCTTTAATCTTATCTTCACAACTGCGGAAGGTTCCGACGAATGAAAAACCTTCCTCGTACAACTACCTCCTTAAAACTCCTCCTCGAAAAGGTCTCCCTACAATTGCGGGAGGTTCTGTGCAACTTTATGTATGTAGTCGATAAGAGATATCTCTTCCGACTCGAATTCCGCCGTCAGTCTTATAAGCCTATCGTTCAGCGCTCGATATTGCTTGGTCAGTGGAGGGGGCGTTGTCCCATTCGTAATCGCGTCATGTCCAGCCTGAACTTCTCCTCCTGTCCTTGGAGATGTTTGATCATCTCATAAAGATTGACATGGCTCTTCTTGATTATTCTATTTAGAGCTTGATGCAATCCCTCGAGATGGTTTGTTGTGCGCGCTCCAAAATTGTGGTAGACCGGTTCCACATTCGGCGCGGGAAGACGGTCTCATTTTCCATCCACGTGTTTATGAAATAGAGTTTTCAATCTTCGAGCTTCGCGTGCGCGGGGTGCTCGGATGAGGGAGAGTCGGCATTAATATCCAACCAAGCGTCCTCGATGCGATTCCGGGGCACCAAGGCCAACGCGGCTGTCGAGCGTATGAACCGCTTTACTTCAGACTCCTTGTAGAAGGTGACGAGTCCCGATTCCAGAACTTTGCGCCATAAGCACTGGTTGAAATGGAACAAACACCCTTTCACCTCTGAATTCGGGAAGGATTCTCGAATCGCTCTGAGCGTGGAAATCTCGCAATGCAACCGAAATGTCGTAGGTTCGAAATTCCGTCCAATGGAGATGGCGTAATTCTTCAATAGCTCGAACATTCTCATGTAGGTTTCTTTGGATTTGTCCGGAAGGAGAAAATACGCGAAAGGGGCCATTTGAACTCGGAAGAAGCCATGGATAGTGTAGAGTTGGCTGAATATGGTCGGTACAACTCTGAATGTGCCGTCCATGAATACAGTCGATGCTTCGCATAGCGAGATGATGAGGTCATTCGTGCTGAACCCTAGAATTCGGTTGATGCTCCCGTCATCGAAAAGCAGGAAGTTTGCTCCTGTTGATGTCTTCGTCCACTGATCATCCAGATTAATCTCCTCACGAGATTGAGGTAAGAGCGGCCTGACTTTAGCACGCTCCCGTTGGAGTATACTGCGGACGCTGTTGAACCCTGGTATAGCTGCCCCTATTTCTTCGTCATCGTGCGCGTCCCGCAAGGTATTTACGGAGACCGCAAGGACTCCGGAGTACGCTTCTCTCAAACTCTTCTCTGGCTGAGCTAAGACGGCGCGTTTCGTCTCCGAGCAAGCATCTCTCGTGATCAGGTCTCGGTACTCGGGCTGTGATTGCCACTCTGCTTGCATACAGCGAGATCCGGTTCCTAGTGGATCGGAGAATAAATATTGCTAACATGGTAAGGAGCCCTTGCGCGGAGAGGATGCTCGGGATCAAAATATCAGAAACAGAAGATTATTCAGAAGAATACCTTAATCAGTACTGTCCTCGCTGGACAGCCACCTTGTCGCTGTCGGATACATCGGCAGTAGAACTTGCTATCGGCCTTTTTATCGACTTCTAACAAGTAATCGTTCACGATGAACATTGGTTTGTCTTTCGCCGATTGGATTTCCGAGACATTCATCTCTGCGATTTCGAGTGGAGGAAACTTCAGCGAAACATAAGCTTCGGAGCTCAAATGATTTTAGCACGTTTTTCTGGACACCCATCCAGCTCCTACAGCTGATCGATTCGCGAGGGAACACCTTCTTGACTCGCGAGAGCAGTGCGCGCCTGTTCTTACGTGCTCACGTTGTCCCGCGACGTTCACGGCACACAGAACCTGCCGGCGCGGGGGTGCAACCAGTAGATTGACTCCATTGTTCTCTCTGATCAGGCATTCGACTTTTGGGAGCATGATTTCCTCGCGCTACCGTCAGCTTGTACCTCCGTCCAGCAAGCTGGCTCGTTTCCTCTGAGTATTTTCCAGAGACTCGTCCCTCCAGGGTCATTCCGGAATCGTCTGAGATAGGCAACCGCCAGAATTTACACAGGTTCCACAATGCAGGAGTGCCAGGAGATATATCTTCATTTTCTTAACCCTCAATAACTAACGGCAAAGTTCATACGCTGATTCTAATGCTTCACTATGAAAGCTTTTCAAGCCGAGCACTGCGTGGCCACTCAGCGGAATCGGGGTCGATTCGATCGACGACTTCCGGTGTCCCGGATATCGACGCTTTTAATTTTCGGCGTACTGGGTTTCGGCGTGCTGGGTTTCGGCTCTTTTGATTTTCGGCGTACTGGGTTTCGGCTTTCTTGACTTTCGGCGTCATGGGTTTCGGCGTTCCGGGTTTCGGCGAGAAACTTTCGGCTTACTGGGACCTAACCTTCCCATGTGGGCACGTTTCTCGCTCCTTGTGCAAGTTGGGAGTAGGCCTTCCAAAGGGTTAATGTTGGCACGTTTCTCGCTCCTTGTGCAAGTTGGGAGTAGGCCTTCCAAAGATCCGTGAAATTTGAGATCCGCAGATCCCGGATCCCGGCTCGGATCCGCGGATAAGATCCGCACCAAACCGGATCCAGAAAAAATACGTATACATGTGTACAACTTATGTACAGTTCTCTGCGGATTCGCTGCTGATCTCCACATGTTTATGATATTTATGCGGAGCCTACCCTGAAGCATTTCATGCATTTTCCGCTTTTGGAACTCTTCAAGAAATGTTTCCAAACCCAGCTCTTCTGATACGTCGCTACCTTGAAGTCCTCCATGATGAGGAATGCTCCGTCTAAATAAAAGGAGAACAACAAAAATGGATGTACGGGCTCGTCCCGGCAGGAGGGTTGCAGTTCATTCTCGATAATTTTAGGCTCTACAAACTTGTTCGCGGGGAGCAGTCCAGATCACGAACTGCAGAATAAGAACGCTTGCGCTTGAGGTATGAACAGTTGTCTCTCAGCTGCTATCGACCGGATCCCGGTCATAAGTCGCAGCGAAGTCCGAGTGAGGGAACAAGCCCTCAGTTTTGAGACGAGAGGTTCCGAATCGAAATGGGAAATTCATGACTCGCGTTACCTGTTTCCTCCATCGGAGACACGCGATTGATGGTCGCTTTCCTCCCGACTACTTTGTATGTACGATGGTTTTCCCTACATTCCTGGAACAAACTCGTGCGGATCCTGCGGATCCGGATCCGTAAATGAATCGTTTATTTTCGAAACATCGTAACTCCACTCTGGAAAAACACCCAAAAACAATCTTCCCCCTGTAGTGTATCCCACAGGATACCGATCCTGGCTTGTGGGGCCATTTTCGAAAGCTCTTGGTGAGAGCTTTCAGAAAAAAAATATTACACCGCCCTCCCTCTCATTCTGTGGCTACACGCGGAGAAATGAGTCTTTGGAGTTACGATGTTTTGAAAATAAACGTTTTTTCCAAACTCAGGAATCTTTATCTCGCCGTAAAAACGTCCAGGATCATCGTAGGAGGCTGTTTTTTCTTTCAAAATGTATCCCAGGTCCTCAGCTTTCCAACGAGGCGCCACACTACCCTATAGCTCCATTCAATCAAAAGTTACGGGCGTTTTAAGAATGGACCAATCCCCATAGACTTAACATTGACCTCCGATCTGCAAAATGACTTCTCTCCCATCATGCTGTAGGAGAATATACTGAAGATGAGAATGGATTGAATGAGAGAAAGAACGCACCAACCAATGAGGGAAACTGAAGTTTATTCATTTCGCCCTCGGAATCATACTCCGAATCATCACCCAAGTCCAGGTCGGCTCTGGATGCGAGTTCATCGTAGAACTCCTGGTATGGCTCTGGGATGTACTTGCGGAGGCTCTGAATGTCCGCAAGTTTTTGTTCTTTGATGGACACCCCTCTCTCTCCATATAAAGGAAGCCGCTCTGATTCTCAACTCCTTACTGTTTCGCAAACCGGGGTTCAATGAGACCCGGATGTAGTCAGATATGAGAATCCGAGATCGGCTGACTTCTGAAGACGGCTCAATCCATTTCGGATGATTCCGTCCCGATGACAGGTGGCTCGAGGCGAATGTTTGAGCGGTCTTCCAGAGATTGAAGATGCGTCCTCGCGGGGTGACTCGGAGGCATCGCTATCTATGTTTCTTCCATTTTCAACATGGCGGAATACACGAGCATCAAGCATCTCCGCTGTGAAAGTCGGTCGGGTATCCATGCCTTTCAGTTTCCCCAATGCGCGCCTCGCGGTGGCATTTCAAATCACCCGCCATTCGAGAAAAAAATCATTGGCGTTTGAATCAATGTTAAGTCTATGGGGAGTGGTCCGTTCTTAAAACGCCCGTAACTTTTGGTTGAATGGAGCTATGGGGTCGTGCGGCGCCTCGTTGGAAAGCTGAGGACCTGGGCTTCATTTTGAAAAAAAACAGCCTCCTACGATGATCCTGGACGTTTTTACGGCGAGATGAAGATTCCTGAGTTTGGAAAAAACGTTTATTTTCAAAACATCGTAACTCCAAAGACTCATTCCTCCGCGTGTAGCCACAGAATGAGAGGGAGGGCGGTGTAATATTTTTTTTCTGAAAGCTCTCACCAAGAGCTTTCGAAAATGGCCCCGCAAGCCAGGATCGGTATCCTGTGGGATACACCACAGGGGGAAGATTGTTTTTGGGTGTTTTTCCAGAGTGGAGTTACGATGTTTCGAAAATAAACGATCCATTATCCTGCAGACCTTGCGGATCCAGATCCGCGAAAATCATGCGGATCTTGCGGATCCGGATCCGCGGATCCGATCCGCTGGAAGGCCTAGTTGGGAGTCGCGTCAGCAGCGAAATCGCGGTCTGCATATGAGAACCTCGGCATATTTACTTCCTACTGTGCTCGGTGAAACGCTTTCTAGGTCTCCGATATCTAGATTGCAAAAGCTGAAAATCGATGATCGAGAAAGTTTTCCTCTCGTGAGGGTCGTCATGATGAAGCGAGACTCATTGTTCGGATTCATTATGAGTGAGGTTCGTTATACGGAAGGTTCGTTAAACGCGGGGTTCCTTATACGCGGGATTCCTTATACGGAAGGTTCGTTATACATGGGGTTCCTTATACTCGGAACTTTAGGGTATCTCGGAGGCGCCTTAGGGCGGAACACCCGGAGTCATGATGGGAGATACTTCACCTTTCCTGTGGCGTCCTTACGGAAGTTCGCGAAGCGCTTAGTTGTGTCATGTTCCAAGTGGAAGGCCGCAGCGAAGATCAAGGTCCCGATGAGGACGTTGAAACGGAAAAGATCCGAGAATCGCAAAATTGTCGAAGAGTCGCTTCTAAGCGTCATCGAAAGGATCGAGTATTGGATTCCTGAGGAGAATAAGAACTATCGAAAGGAATGTGTTGATAGGGTCAGACTTCCCCACCGAGCTTCAACCCTCTCCGATGCTCTCACCTGTAAAGAATATGTAACCTACGGCATAATGCCTTACGTGCACCTTCGCGTCGGAGTACACGCTGACGAACATGCATTCGTAGCAACGCCGGTATACCTTTGAGCGGGAAAAATCATTATTCATCATTGAGAGGAGCTCCGTGGAACACTTCTTTTGCGAAGAATGGAAGATGCAATCCTATCGAATCGAAGAATGATTCCTAGATCACAAGGAAGGCGGCATTGGTTTGCTAGATTTCCCACAAACCTGTGGGGTCGTCAGGAGCTGAACCCACAGAGCAACGGCGAAAGGCACTGCAGAGTTCGAAAACCGAATCATTTCTCACTGGCCCTGGAATTCTGCTCTTTCGGATCTGTGGGAGGAATGAAAGACACGCCTCGATGGTGACCCGTTTAACTGGTGTGTTAGATCCACCCCCCCACACCCTCCCCGATGAGGAAACGATGCAGTAGACCCTCGTTCCAATGGACGTGAAGGGATTAGCAGAAATGGTCCGTTATCTCCGAGGATGAGTTCTGACACGGAATGGGACGTGAAAAAAATTGGTAACATAACTGAAGCCTTTCTAATGACGGCGACGCGCTGGAGGGACGCCGTTTGGAGATGTAAAATGTTTTGAGGATGCGATATGATTCGAGACAGTAACTTGATAAAAGATTATGAAAAGTTATGTATACAATCCGAGAACATGAATGAGGGATCCGCCCTTTTTGTCCTTCTAGTGTCTCATTCCTCGGGTGATCGAGGTGAATGCAATGGTCGAAGAACGGGCTGGTACAGGGCAGGGCAGATTTCCGATCCTGGAGCTCAGGTCGCATTGAATAAGACGACACCGGATCGATACATGGCCCTTTGGAGAGGGCTGAGGGAGACCATGCACGGAACTCGTCTTCTGATACCGTGTAGTCCTCTTACCAGGCCATCCGTGCAATGTAAGAAACCGCTTCGGCGGGGCGATATGCGAGCTATCGATTCACTCCAGCAGGAATCGGTCTGGCTGACAGAAACAATCATACCAATTGTCCGATCGAGAGTCTCACAAAGCCCAAGCTTCGCTTTCCGACTCTCACCGGCAGCCGATCGAACTGTCGACGCCTCGATGCACATTCTTAGCTCTCAAAACCAGTCAGCCAGCCTGCCTGGATACCCTCCATCCAGTCCATCGGCCAGCGAACTGAATGCGGCGGAATCACAGACGAGACTCAGTTGATCCGGCGAGCAGGCCAGCTTGAACTCTCGAAACCCAATGAGGGCTGCGAAGATCGAAAGATCGGTGGATCAGCTTCGCCAATGAGGACTGGAAGAACATGGTTGATGCTGAAATATGGGGTTCCCGAACTCTACTCTTTCTTGTTCGTCAGGAACCTCCGAGCCATGCTCCTCACGGAAATTCTCATCAGTTGAGTTGATTGATGAAAGTTTTTCGGGGACTCCTCAGTACGGATGCTCCTGCAGCGACCCCGACAGCAGAACACGCTCAAAACTTGGCTTGATTCCCAACTCTGGTGGATCCGAGTCGAATAATATCTTCCAGCAAAAAGGGAAATTTCTCGGCCTCAGGAACAAGGGGCAGCCCTCCTTTTTCGCGATCAAATGGTTCCGAGGCCTTCGGAGGAGAGGGAGGAGGCATCGACATCGAGAGTGCTCTCCGGAAAGGTCGGATTTCAGAAATATGCCCAACCAATATTTCTGACATGATCACCCTCCTCACGCCTGTCAGTGGAGGACGTCCTTTGTGCGTCCAATCCTTTCCACACACGACAGATCTACAGGGTAGACCAGGCGAGCAGGGACCCGGCTTCAAAGTACGATTGCCGGGAAACGTATTTAACGTCGGGGAAGTACCCGACCGGAGGACTCCCCATGGCACAGTCCTCGCAAAATACGAAAGAAAACGCGCAGAATAGTCTCGGTAGTCGGGGCGAATGAACCTCCGACTTGACCTCGACGGAAGCGCGACGGCCGATCTCGTGGAATGTGCGGACTCGGGGACCGGAATTTCCATGGACTGCCCGGCCGCGTTAAGACTCCGATCAAAGATCATTGTTTCCACTTCACACGCGGAATCAAACGCACAGATTGAAGGGAACATGCCGATGAGCTTTGTCCATTAAAGCTTTCGCCCTAGTTATTCAAGTCGTTGCTCTGGAATCGGGAACTGACCCGCTTGGACTTGACCCGTCCACAGTGTGTCCACACGGACCCATATTCTAACGCTCTCCTGTGTCCAACCCTTTCCCGCGACTCGCTACGTCCTACCCACCTAAGGACAATGGAACTCGGCCAGCAAAGGAGGAGCCCAAGAGTGACTCTAGCCTCCCGTGTAATTATTCTAGTCGGAGTATCGATGGTACTAGACGAATATTAGCATTTGGCGGTGGCGCCATGTATCGCGAGGAACCACCTGGACGGAGAGGGGGAATACGGCAGTCGAGAGCGAGAAAAAAACAGCAGGTAGTCCTAAAGTACTACCGGAAGGATGGCGTGAAAACGTCACAAATATCTGTTTTTCCGAGATATTTGTCACGGTCGATGACATCGATTAACTCATTGCGGAATGGTACATAGAGTGTGACCATTTCGCGCTTATAATTATCGGTGTCCTCTTTGTCGTAATTCCGATATCTTATAATTTTCCATGTTTCACGTCGTCTGTAGTTATTCTGATGGCCGACCCTCCCATGAATGCTCCCATTATCTTCCCCATCACATATCATATCCTCGGTCTCGACATCATCTCGATCTATGTTACCCTCAGAAATATTCTGATTCTTGGTTGGCGAATACCATGCTGTGAGTTGGGTGAAATTGACCGCACCAAGGGACTCTGGTCGTTCTTCATATTTCTGTATAATCGATTTGGTCCATATGTCGGTGCAGTCTCCAGGTAAATTTTCGGCATCCATGATTGACTTCCGTTTCCATGCCTTGTATCTCTCGTGAGGCCACATCGTTAGAATCATGACTGTGGCTCGCGACTCGCGATGCCCAGCTCATACGCTGGCGCAAAAGATACCAAGCCGCCTCTTGCGCAGACATTTCTACACTATTCAAAACTTTCAGACCAACTTTGGTCATCAGCTGTGTCTGATCGTATTCAGGGTTTGCCTCATGGATCGATGTGAGCTCCCGGTGTAGGTGACTTATACCTCGATTCGACTTGTTAACATAATCTACGACGTAAGCGGCACAGGAGTGTGGATCGGGGATTATCTGGAGATCCATGTTCGAGTTCAATACCGATGAAATCCATGGGTTAAATGTATTCACAAAAATCTGCGTCATGTCTCTTTTGAATAGCAATGTTGGCCGTTTCAAACTTGATCTCATCAAATCCAGATAACGCTGATGATCACAATCTATGTCGCTAAGGAAATCCTGAATTGAATCATAAGCTTTCGCTTCCAATTTTGTTTTCGCACCACTCACTTGTTTTGCGAGGAGCTTCCTTCGCTCGTCATCTTTACTCAATGGCAGCAAAACCCTTGTTTTGTACATCGGTCAATATGGAACATTGAAGCGGCAGTGTTGCTCACCTCTTTTCGTGCAAGTGAATTTGTGCGCGTGGGTTTGATTCTTTATCACTGTTGGGTCACTCATGTCTGCCTTTTCCACGCTGCATAGATCGCTAATCATCTTCACCGTATTCGGCATAGAATAGGACATTTCCTCGGCCGGATCATTCTCTAACCAAAGAAGGATGTGCGCATGGGGACTACCACGATGCTGAAACTCTATACGAAGGAAGTACTCGATGACACGATATTCCCCGAACGGATTATATGTCTTTTTGGCACTGATAATCGTCATGATTGCGTTCACCAACTTGTGGAAATCAATTGCGCAGGTGACCGGATCTTCAGCCACTAGATGAGCTCGCTTACCTTTGTCGAGCTTTTCGAAAACATCCTCCATCTCGTGTATCTCGATATATTTGTATTCTTCGGAAAGACCGTGAAGAATACGCAACAGATTCGGCCAATGTGTTTCGTTCGCACTAATGGTGAGGAACGCCGTCGGTTTACCAAGTTGACGGATCATCATGTCTTTCTTCGGGGCAGCTCAATACTGTACAGAATTGGGAATCGTTTTTAGAAAAGCCTGATTCGTATCAATCAATCGTTCCACAAATTCTCTATTCTCTATCATTTCCCGTGTTATCCTTTCGGTTGTCCTCAAACAGCGATACATGTTTTGAATACCGTCTCGGACCCGAAGGCGGAGAATTTTCATGGCCATGTAGAGCACATGCTGAGGCGTCGCTCCGCGACGGTCCCTCCGTCGACATGCACATAGTGTATGCACTGGAACGCGCCCCGTTATTCGCATTGATTTGACGGGCGATGCCGAAGTATATGCCGGGCAATGATAACTCCTCGGCGAACTTATCGAAAGTGAGGCTTTCAGGCGTACGATCCTGACCAGGAGCAATATCCAAGCATTGTTCCTCGTTCCACATTAGTGTCTGCTGCCTCACTGTAATCAACTCCGACTCTGGTACGTCGCTTATATTCATGGACTCGATAGCATCCAACGAAACATCTTCGAGTCCTGTGTCCGGGAAAGTGCTCTTGAAAACCGACCAATCGATCGATATATTGTAATGCTTGTACAGAGGTTGCTGCACGAGATAATTCAGCCATATGCCGACGGTGGATTTCTTCACGAAACCGCTGATGTAAGAAGACTTATGAATGATGTTTTTCTTCAAATTGACGTTGAACGCATAGTCATCATCAAGAGACCGCGGCAAACACCGCATCATAGTATCGACATCGACCGGCACATTGGTAATCTGACCAACAATGCCATAAGAGCCTTCGTGGCGAAGGCGACGAATCTGCATGAAAAGGATACGCGGAGAAATGAGTCTTTCGGTGATTGGGTCGAGTTTAGGTAGATTCGTGGGAACATCAGGGCACGTATACCCGTTACTCTTACTCATGGAAGGAACCTTATTAGTTCGACAAACCTTCAAACAATTGGAGCATAATCTGAACTTCCTCCTCACATGGTCTGGGAAGATGTCTTACACAAACATCGCTATCTGTGGGGATGCCGTCTTCAAGTCGCGCTCGAACCATAAACGATCGCATACGTCGCAAGTATGACCGAACTCATTGTCCATGGATGTACTTTTGAAACGAGCAGTGGCGCGTTGCCATAGTTGAGAGAATTTAGGATCTCTCGTGAATGCTACATCGTCGTCGGGGAGGTCCCGGGTTCGATCCCCGAGACTGGCCGTTACTGTTCCTCGGAAACTTGAGGTCCCCATTTAAGAAGCAAGGCGTAGGTATAAGTCAGAGTTTGCATGAGGAAGCAATAACGTCTGCGCTTGTACTCTCCCCCGCCTCTGCTGCGGTAGTAGCGGGAAATACCTAGTATAATAATATAAATATTCCGAAATGCATGAATGATATCAATGGAACGCCCATAAATTCAACACTTAAAACCTTGAATATTCATTGCTCAGGAGCTTTGTCATGAATTTTCGGAGACTTCGAGGAGTGATTCGTAATGCAGAATGGACGTCCCCTGAGAAGGCGAGGGGAATTATTGATGTTCTCCCTGTGAGATTGCATGAAGACACCGAAGTTAACCCTCGAAAAATTACCAAGATGAATGTGTCAGAAATTCGTTCAGCAAAAAGCAAGCCACTTTTGTAGTCAATGACTATATATTTGCAATAGATAAGCGGGTCGATCAGAAAATTTACTGCCGTTGCATCCGTAAAAAGCAGGAGGGCTGCTCAGCCCGAGCATTGATTGCTAGGGTACGTCAGAATCTTAAAATATCCCTTGATCATGATTTCATTTTGGACCCACCTATTTCGTGATCTCATCATGTAGCCAATTCTATATATCATCGCATGGTAGCCGGTTTATTTTGCTTGCTGGGAACCGGATCTTACCGTCCTACGGCAAAACGGCATTCACTGCCACCCACCCGAGCACGCCAGTCTCATCAATCGGAGAGCTTGCGCAGAAATGAAAAAAACTGTGCGAACCATGCCAGAAAAGAGTCTGCGAGAAGCGTATTCCGATGCCTTAGTGACAACAGTGAATACATTGCGGGACGACCACGATGAAGAAGAAATTGGAGCAGCGATACCGAGCTACGATAATGTTCGAAGTATTATACAGCGAGTTCGCACCGAAGTGAGGCAACCTTCACCGACAACACGTCAAGAGATTCACCTCGAAAATCAGTGGACCAGAACACTCACAGGAGCCACATTCTTACTCTTCGACGATGGTGACGAGGATCGAATTTTGGGATTCAGCACAAATGACCTCATGATATCGCTCTGCAATGCATCCACCATCTTCAAGGACGGCACTTTCAGAGTCGTCCCGAAATTGTTCACTCAGTTGTATACTTTACATGGATACTACAGAGGACAAATGATTCCCTTCGCCTGCTTCTTATTACCAGAAAAGACCGAAGAAACGTATGTCCGGATGTTCAATCTCATACGGAATCATGCGATCTCCCTCGGTAGAACCTTCAACCCTCGCGCATTTCAACTGGATTTCGAAGTTGCGACTCTAAAAGCACTGGAACAGACCTTCCCAACCGCGGATTTGAAGGGATGCTTTTTCCATTTCAGCCAATGCCATTGGCGCAAAGTCCAAGCCTTGGGACTCGTCGTCCACTACAGAGAGCCCGAAATAAGGCGTTTCATCCGATCAGCGACCGCGTTGGCCCTAGTGCCACTCGATCGTATCGACGATGCGTGGCTTGAAATAAATAGCGAATCGCCCTCTTCTGAGCATGCAGCGTACGAAAAATTGGAGGCTTTTATATCGTACATCATACAAACATGGTTGGAGAATGACAGCGTTTTCCGTCGGCATTTGTGGAATCATTATCGGAACTTCGGCGCCAGGACCACGAACCATGTTGAGGGCTGGCATCAGGCCCTTAACAGAATCGTAAAAAAACGCCATTTGAATATTTTCGAGATGATAAGCCACCTGCAGAAACAGGAAGAGAAATTTCGATTGGATATGATGAGACTGCGTATGGGACAGCCCCCGCGTCCAATAACCAAGAAACACCGGATTCTCAACGCCAGACTAATCAATTTCGTGCAAGAATTCGAGACAGGAGAGAAAAGCTTGCTTGAATACGTGCATGGAGTCGCGTACAACATCCAGTAAATGAATTGTTTGTCTCAAAGTCAGACTTCTTCAGCTGCAGAGCGTGATCGTGAAATTCATCAAGAGGATATGTTCTAGTGCGTGGATATCTTCGAGCTGTGATGCGTGATAGAGGAAGCCTAATATTCGAGAGAATATCATTATCATTGAAAATTAATCATAAACAGACTGGAATTATGTCCGAGTCAAATATATCATATACATACATGTAGCAGCATTGCATGGTCGAGGAATTCAGTCAGAGTATATGTGCAAGTCAGACATATGAAGCTGTAGTATGCGATGGAGGAATTGTGATTATCGGAAAGATGATTATCATGAATATATTGTGGTGCTAGGCGATACTAACGCCACCATCGCGGAATACTATATAAAGCCGACTTTCCTACCAATAAAGTATCATTAGCGCCCCTTCGTTATCTGACTTGCATTACCGCTACAATTTTGTGGCAGACAATGGAAGGCGACAATGCCGATGTTCAACCTTGTGCACCCCCTCCAATACCTCCACCACCGCAGTCCCTGACCATGGAAGCCCTCACAGCGTTACTGGAGAACCTCACTCCACAGAACGACCTTCCGGCGTTCGATCCCGAAAAGCCACGAAAGTGGATCAAACGATTAGAGATGGACGCGTTCATGAACAACTGGTCGGAGCAAGAACTACTTCGGTTGGCCTTTCGCACCCTGGATGACGATAGCAAGACATGGTTCATAACAGAAATGGGGACGACAGCGAACTGGAAGATTTTCAAAACTAAATTCTTCACCCGCTTTCCGAAAGGCAAGAAAATCAACCCGGCCGATTACTACAACCGAAATCGTAGATCGGACGAGAACTTTACGACATTCATTCGGAAGAAACAGGCACTCCTCGGGGAAGTAAACATTCCCTTCGTCTGGGAAGATTTCTTCGAAGAAATTCAAGAATCCTGCACATCGACAGGCTTCCGAAACTTCATTATCGCAGCAAACCCAGAAGGTTTCGAATCTCTAATGGAGGTCGCAGAGAAATACATCGAAACCGCAAAGCCGGTTGTACAGACCGCCCTAGCACAGGAAAAGAAAGATACAGAAGTACAAGGAAGACGACTGAGACCAGGAGATTGGTCGAAAGAACGAGTCAAACAAACGTCTCAAACCCGCCTTTGCTTCAGGTGCGGTCAAAGCGGGTACCTTGCAGCTACCTGCCCAAAAAACCACGAAACATTCGACTACAGTGCATTGAAAATGCCGAGAATCCGTTCGAGACACAAGTCAAGATACTCGGTGGAATGAGGACGGCAACACTCGACACGGGAGCAGACGTGAACGCAATCTCTGCGTCAATCATCGACTTCGAGGACCCAGGCATCGAGATAATCGAGCCTGATGTGGATACTCGCATCACGGACGCACAGAAGAATAGGATGAAGGTACTCGGGGCAGTAGAGCTAGATGTCGATGGTGGTCGGGAGCCATTCTTCATCATTGATAACCTCTCCAAAGACGTAATTCTGGGGAAACCATTTCTCGCTAAAACGTTCTCGTTAGTCCATGAAGAGAACATCACGAAGTCACAATCCTATTCGAACCGCAGTCTTTCTTGCAAAACTCGAGGAGGAGCGATAATTCCACCCGAAGCTGGGATGTATGTCACCGTAGAAACAGGTATCCCATCAGCAACACTCCAAACTGAAGGGATTCTCCACTGTACTCCAGGGAGACAATTCATCACTCCTCACAGCGTGGTGGAATCAGACCAAGAGGGACTATGCGGGATCATGGTAGTCAACCTCGAGAAAACGCCGATTGCTTTGAAAGCGGGCACTCCTCTGGGTCAAACGCAGCTTCTGGGCCAGATAGATTCATCCTGTCCGTCGGAAACAGGTCCTCCCACCATAAAGAAAGCGTTGCGTTTGGGTGATGAGTTGAGTGCCGATGAAAAAAGTCGATTGGAATCTCTTCTACTTGGCGAGTTCCAAGATCTCTTCGGGAAACCGAACCAGCTGTCCAGTACAAGTTCGGTGAAACATACGATTCCCACCGGCGATATACCGCTGATAACACTCCCGACCCGCAGGGTGGCTCCCGCGCAACGACAGACCATAGCCAAAGAGGTTAAAGATATGCTTGACAATGGTATCATAGAGCCTTCTACGAGTCCATGGGATTCTCCAGTGATCCTAGTCAAGAAGAAAGACGGCTCTGTACGCTTCTGTATTGATTATATGTAGAAAGCTCGATACGGTGACCAAAAGAGACGTCTATCCGTTACCCCGCATCGACGCTGCACTCGATGCACTGTCAGGTAATTCGTATTTCACGACCTTGGACCTGATGAGTGGTTATTGGCGGGTCGAAATGGACCCGAATCATAGAGAGAAGACAGCTTTTTGTACACCGGATGGTCTCTATCAGTTCAAAAGAATGCCATTTGGCTTGGCGAATGCTCCCGCAACCTTCCAGTGACTAATGGATAGAGTTATCGGGCCGATGAAGTACCAAATGGCACTCGTCTATTTAGATGATATCATCATCTACTCAAAGGACTTCGACTCACATATCTCTGACCTAAAGAAAGTCTTGTCGTCAATCCAAGCGGCGGGACTCAAGTTGAAAACCAAAAAATGCATGTTCGCTACGAGGGAAGTCGTTTATCTGGGACACAAGGTAACGCAAAACGGTATAGCGCCTAATCCGGAAAAAAACCAAGGCCAGTAGCGCCTACGACACTACCGTGTTACAGGACGTGAAAACGTCTTCTGTGTGTCTCTCTCTCTAGTCTAGATATTATTATCTATCCCTTTGGATTATCTGATCTACATATTTTCGTTGAAATAGCATTATTGCATGCACTTTAATCAATTCATCGGTGATTTCGCTTGATATCTCACCAGCCAGGCCTTCACGGTGGACTTTTTGACGAAGCCGCTCAGATGAGAGGATTTATGGATGATGCTTTTTTTTAATTGTTGAGTGATCGTCGTCCAATGATCGCGGTAAACTCTGTACCATCTTGTTGACATCAACTGGGACATTGATGACTTGACCGACAACACCGTAACAACCGTCACGACGCAAACGGCGTATTTGCATGTAAGGAGTTATTGAAGAGAGGAGTCGCTCGCTTATGGGGTCTAGCTCAGGCAAGCCTGAAGGTTTTGATGGATACCCATAGCCATTTGTCTTGCTCATCGGCGGAACTGTGTCGCGCCGACATCTGATAGAGGGATGAGGGATCGAGCCGACATCGTGTGGTATCGTCCTCCGAGAAGTGGGGGGGTCGATAGGAAACTCGCCATCGAGGAGGTGACCGTTCTCAGATCACGGAGGAACCAGAGGCGATCACAGACGTCATAAATATATATGGCCAAACTCATTCTACATGAAGATTCGCTTGAAACGGCCAGTCGTTCGAGACCATCCGATATCGTACTCTGCACCCAGTGGCGTACACAGGATTTTTCTCAAGGCCGGGCAAGATCGGGTCTCCGCATGGGGCTGAAATCCAGTATGGCGATTCGCTCCTGTACTACAGCATTACGGAGGAACCGTCTTGGAGGGGGCTATAGCCCCTTTAGCCCCCCCTCCCTGCGTACGCCCCTTTTCGCACCTCGAGTAAAATCACTTGCCTCGACGAGGTCCGTCTCACATACCTCTGGATCGAATGACATTACGTTACTCCCCGCCACCGCCTCTGAGATGGTCGAGATGATCTGTCCCCGTATGACTCGATTCTGGTGCGTGACGTTGTCGCGCCCGACATGACGCCGATCTCTCTGAGGAGGTTCAAGGTCTCTTTCGAGAAGATTCTTCCCTTCCTGCGCGACGCTTCCGTGGCTGTAAACTACGAGTCTCCGGCCCCATAAAGAGCATTCCATCGACATCGTTATTCGTAATCCGTGAAGTGTGGAAATCCTGCTCCGATCCCTATAGCCTCACCCATTAAAACGCTTCTGCAGCCCTCATATTTTGGTACAAGCCTGATGCTCAAAGCGGTGCATTTCCGAGCTCCGATTGTGAGGACAGGAGCGGTAGGGACAGAGAGTCCGTCAGTGATCGCGACGGTCAATTCTTCTCTGGCTATGCTTATGTCGATCGGTCCGTACTCAGTACTTTGAGTCGAGATCATCGATGCAACTGATACGAATCATGCTTATCTACCGACGTTCATCGTACCAGCGTACTGCATCCGCTGAATTTTATGAAAAACGGGAATTCATGCTCTTTTCCATGCAATTTCGAGGGGTGTTCGGATCGTGACGGGAATGTGTTAAGGAGCATTCCAATTTTCATGATTTCTGGCCACGATCGTCTCCCGCAAAACGATCATTAGACATCAATTTGGCGGAAATCTGTCGAGTACTTGATGAGTTCTAGCCCCGCGAAATGTTACAAAAAACGCTGCATGATGACGAAGTTTTTCTCGAAATACCCCCAGCCTTTTGAAAGACGTTTTCACGTCGAAAGTTAAAGCTGTAGCGAACATTCGACCTCCGGCGGACCTCAAGGAATTGCGAAGTTTCCTCGGACTTGCCTCTTATTACCGATGTTTCATCGAGAATTTCGCCGGGTTGGCTGCTCCGTTGTACGATTTGCTCAGCCAGACGACCTTTGAGTGGGGGCAGAGACATGAGGATGTCTTCCTCTGCATCAAGGAACGCATCATAAGTGAACCGGTCCTTCGGCACTTCCAAGAAGGGTTAGAAACGAGGTTACAAACCGACGCCAGTGGAACGGGACTGGGGACTGTTTTGTTTCAGCTAGAGAACGGACGGGAACGAGTCGTAGCTTTCGCGAGCCGACGTCTGTCGAAAGCCGACGTCTGTCGAAAGCCGAGATGAAATGTCATTCTTCAGAAACAGAGTGTCTGGTAGTGGTGTGGGCCATTCACAAGTTTCACCCGTATCTCTACGGTCGTCGCTTCAAGGTGATCACAGACAGCATCGCACTCAAGTACCTCAACAGTAAAACAAATCTGTCTCCGAAACTCGTTCGTTGGGCGTTGGCGATCCAAG